CGTGCAAGACGCCGGTGTTGATAGTGAATAGGCATACCGTCAATTTCATATTATCTCGCTCACCCAAAGTTTTTCCGCCGGTGACCCAAAAGAGATGGAGATAGGCCTGCTGTTAGAATAAGGTGATCGCAAAATTGAAATGAACACCTGGGGCACACCCTTCAGAGCGAGCCAGCGCCCGAGTTTAGAATGATCTTCTGAATCTAAAGCAGCTTTCAGATCGAGTAAGATGCAAACGATGGGTCTATGTTATGAAATTTGTCGAAAGGTGAAAATGTGGTCTGTACAACCTCAAACAGATCTAAAACCAGCCTGGTTCTCGTGCTTGCACCGCTTACGTGCGGCAGACAATCAACGGAGTGTAACGCCAGCGAGAAGCATAGGGACAATTTCGATCAGACTGATACCTCTGTGGTTTTCATATGAGAATCTGTCATCTTTTTTGTGAATCGGTATAATGACCGATTTACGTTATTCAGTTGGAACCTGCTCCCTTTCCCATATTGAGCGCAGGAGTTTCGTCAACTCCACGACTAACGCTGAGCCTCCATCCTGAAAAACCGATGGGAACAGCCCGTTCGTGCCGGAAGTCTTTTATCTTTTGAGATGATTTTGTTCCCAGGTAAATTCCATTTCAGAAGGAGGATGGAAGTCAACTGACAGTATTTGCGCAGTTGAAATAGGTGTAGGAAGGCCTTATTTCGACGTTCATGAGAGCGATATCATAAGATCGAGTTGGGTTGAATGGACGTAAACCCGAAGATTTACGAAACGTTTGTGCTGAGAAATTCCACCCAATCTTAGAGCGTGCAATCAGAGCATCCACACATCACTGTAATTCACGAAGGTGCAGAGACTCTGCGGAAATCCAGGGTGACACGAAGTTTCAGGCCACAACTATCTATTCCATAGGAATACATAGCATACGGTGGTGATCAGGGCCTACGAGATGACGCCTACCCTGGAGCGGCGTTTTTGGACAAATGCAACCAATCAAACCTCACGGCTGACGTGAACAACGCGCGTACGTGTCACTGCTTCTGAATTCATGCCATAGGCAGATTTTAGCAGCCAATCAGAGACCATGCGGCCCATACAGAAGCAGAACGATACCAGCAGCACTGGGAGGCGATTGGTGGAAGCCCGGATAACCAATGAGCCTACTCTGTACATATTATTTAATCCCCATTATTTCTTCCTATAAACGAACTACCATTCCTGTGGTGTTTTCCTCGCGTCTCAGTTACGTGGGATATTGCGTGCGAGTGCCAGGGCTTCCATGATGCAATCCGTGATTGCTACTCCTTGATTCGTATTCCGTAATCCGTATTGCGTGGTTCATATTCCGAGTTCAGTGCATATTACTACTATGACTACAATCACTACACATACATTCTTGAAAAACGGCCAGTGGTAACTAAATTTATCAGATATTTGGTTTTAACGTTTTGGCTAGCACGTTTGCGAACACGGTTATCCATGTTGGTCGAGACAACTTATCGTATTCCAACCGTCGCTATTTCGTACATGTCAAATAGCCAACCGAAGCACATGGACAGCTTAGTGCGAACTAATGCGTGGGCGGATTCGCAGACAGTGCTCTGGTACGATCGACAGTCTTTTAAACAAATCTGCTGGTTTTGGCTTATAGTGATTTGTTCTACGCGCGGTCGCTGTTAACAGGAGGGCGTGGAAAAATTTGGGTGCGGGTGGTTGAGTCGCTGAAATTCGTACTGGCGATGGATAGGGGATCGTCAGAACAGTGAACCAATAGCCCGAATACAACCGATCTAATCTATCATTCATATTTTCTACTAAAGCAGCGCCAAAAGCCCGATTCGTTTTACAGAAGAGATAATGTAGCTTTTGCTGAAAATTTTACCGTCTGCATCTATGCTTCAGTTCGTGGGTGCTTACTTTGAAAGCTTTTCGGAGCGACCATTGTTTACTTTACACGAGCCTCAAAGTCTCATTGAGGCACTGCTGTTAATACAATCGTTTGAAATTCCCGATGTAATTGAATGGGAGTGAAATGGTGTTCGTTGGGAAGGCATGGGGGTACGGTGTTGAACTACTTCCAAGGGATGTTTTGGATGTCAATTATTTTTAACTTAAGAGTTAATCATTAAATGTGCTTTGGGCTGTTGTGCTACTCGTTTGCCTAGACAGAGTAGGCCATGATCGGGGTGCATTGTAGTCGTTGCGCAATCGATCTCGAGGTACAAGGTATCAGCGTTGTTCCAGATGAGCCAGTAACCGGTTGGTTATGTTTTTCGTCTCTTTTGGAGAGCCTTGTTGGGTAGGTGGAACTCGACAAAGAGACGATGATTATATTCAGTGTGCGTGGGGCAATTTTAACCACGTCACAAAGCTGTCAAAAGATATTTGTGGTGCGGAGAACTGTCGCTAACCGTTAAACCTACCAAATCCTCAAACACTACGACTACTCGTGCGCAACCGCTTATCCACTAAGCCTAAGCCCACCTCATTCACAGCTGCGAGATGGTGACCGCTTCTATTTCTGCAACCTGGGGGCGCGCTCTATATCACATAGATCTGCTCCATCGAGATTGGTGTTACTGGCTTGTTTTGGATCGCTGTCGTACACTCAAACCATGCCATCGTCATTAGTCGGTGATGTCAAGCAAATGCGCCACCGCCCTGCACTACACGCCTCCAACCCTTCTGGAATTTTATGTAGTCCAAGAGACATGGGTTATCGGTTGCTAGGATTACGTCTTCCTGATTATGGGGTTTTTCGTTTCTACTACACAGGACACGGTGGCGTGTAACAAAAATACCTAGTTTTCGTGCCACCTCCTCTTCTTCAATTGTCAAATTATGCAATGAAATTACTTGTTTTCACTGATACAAACTAAGGCTGCAACTGTGAAGTGGATCTAATACTTTTGATCACACACTATTGAAATGCACATTCTCAAATCTGGATGTTAGGTATACGGCAAAAGTGATGTATCAACAACTGGTTTAATCTCCTCATTCGCTGACGTTGAAGTAGCTGGCAAGTATGGATTACACTGAGTTGGTAACTGGAAGCGTACAGATAGACGAGGACGATTAAAATTTTAAAAGTTATGAAAAGTGAATTATTTGCTCCAACAACACCTAAGCGCGCTAAATTAGATAATGCAGTCCAATTAGTAACGCCACACTGTTTGCTATAAGTTTCAGTCAAACAAAAACTGTAGGGTCCCTTAGCTATTGCTTTGAATTAACTCAATAGTGATGGTTCTGTGACCGATTAAAACAGCATCAAATTAGATCTGTTTTGTTTCTTATTGAAATTAGATGTGATGGAAGCGGAGAATAGAAAATCAACGAGAGGAATTCACTAACTTTCCGATCGGTCAATCCGCTCTCGTTATGTGCGTGCTAATCTGTCCCGACATTTCGTGGACACATCGCAGAATAATGGAGCGGGCTGAAGTCAAGCTAGAAAACAATCTATATTCAAATAATAAAATGAATAACCTTTCTTATTTCATTGGTAGAGATCCTGGAAACTTATTTCAGTCATGATTTAATAATACAGTTTTTGCCCATTCTAGCTCCATTATCATACGTTTCTTATAATTAGCGTGAGGTCACTTTCTTTCACGTCAGAAAAAATCGTTTCTATGACTGAATCCACGTCTCTCAGGAATACAAAAGTGACGAACCCATTCATTCTTTGGCTTTCAGGGTATGCACCCGGCCCGTGCACAGCCAAGGATGATGGCGATGGCCGTATACTTATTTAGTAGTAGACCAGAAATCAGGATGCTTTCTTTGAATACTAATGGCATTTTGTTGCTGGGTTTTGTTCAGAAGTCGGAACCCAGTCATTTTCTCGGTAATCACTGCCGGTCGTCGGTGACAGTGGAATAAATGGCTTGATGCCAATTTATTCACGATTAACCACTTCAAAACACTTTTCCATATCCGCGGCCTAGAGGGGCACCTGGTAGAGTATAACTCCATTGGACAGTAGACTACAGAACAATGAAGTATTTTTAATCTGCAACAGATTTGTTAAAAGCACACCCCCTAGGGNAGAAACTAGATAAGCTCGAAGAATACCACGCATGGCTGGGCTTCCAACGACAGGTAGCATTACCACCTGAAGTTGCTCAAACCATTAATGCATTCAGAATACTTCGAATAAATACGATTTCGGAGAAAGTGAATAAATCTTTGGAAGATCCGGTCATGTAGTGTTTGCAACCGCGTTACTCAGTTTCAAGAGTAAACGAATCTAAAAGCATACCTACTGAGTACATCCTTAAATAGTAAGCTCAGTTCAGGTCTCAACCCGGCTTATCTTCAACTTCGCACATTAATTTGTATTTGTATAACTTGTGCAAGCATGTATGCTTACATTTCAGTTAAAAATGTACAATGTTCGTCACGCAGAGTGAAATAATAATATTAAAAACGAAAGATAAAGAATTTCGGAGATATATGTTTCATGTACAAAACTTTTGAGGTATTTCAATTGAGACCTGTTCCTTTTTTGTAAGTAGTCGGGCCAAGTACGGTACAGGGGAATTTTTATAAATGTTAATCCGAGATAGTAGCTGTCGAAATGAGGAGCGTGTGGACGGATGGGAACGACAGGACAGGGTGAAGCGGATGAAAAGGATCATCTAGAATCTTTTGGGGCACATAGAAGGCGCAAGAGTCCAATGAGAATCGAAACAATCGAGAGGGAAGATTTGTTCTTTTACATCAACTGTTTTGATAGTTTAGCTTAACCCCCCCCCCTAAGGATTTTGATTTCCGGGAATTGATATTGCGGTTTCAGGTGGCACGTGTACATTTGAACTAATTGATCGATAGATAGTCACATCCCTTCGTTGTAGTACTTGAGAAAAAGAGAAAATGGAATCTACCAAGTTGAAACTGAAGACAAACGGACGTGAAGTAATACGCATTCAAGGCGTCTATATGTACATAATTAATCAGAATGGACAAGTAGGAGCTATAATGGGATTTCATCCTCTGATTGTGGTTAACTACGAGGATGCTAACGACCGGGAGCCTCTGAAGGGTTACATGCGAGTTGATCGCTGGATTTATCCACTTGCACGCTCATTTTCACCAATCTTTGTTTGGGGTCCAGACCGTTTAGTCATGCCCGAGCCTTTCTCTACTCTGACCGAGCCTGTTTATGTGGTTATTCGTCTGCCACTTGCCATGTCTAGATACCAGAAGGATACTCTTTGGAATTTACTCAATGTCACTGCTCATCTACGCGGTCATTTCACCCATATTTCAGTCGATAAACTGGAGTCGATGGACCAGTTGTTTGAACTGACGGAAATTACACCAGACGATAGGCTTAAATTAGACAAGGCACAAGAGGGTGTATGCCCTCAAGGCACACAAAACCTACCGGGTCTTGATGATCCCAACATGATTCACAAACTGTTAGCGTTTGAAAAAGGTGAAGCCCGGCTAAGTGTGTGTTTTGGTAACCTAAAAGAAAGAAAAATATTATTGGAAGAGTCCGCGAAGGAGATAAGTCGTTCCAAACGGGAAGGAAAGCCTTACAAAGTTGCCCCACTGCATCAGTCCCTTCATCCGGTGAATCGTGAGAACTTTAGTGCCCTTAATCTGGCTGGACAAAAAGACTGGAAGGTGGCATCACCTGGGGGTGTACCGAATCTCATCCCACTGCCCAAGCTGCGAGGAAATCTGGTTAGACTCTATGTCTTAGGTCCGCGAGACGCGCAACACATCAGTTGTTCCACTGTTGTTGAGTGGCTTCCGATTTCACAGCTTATGCTCAACGCTGTGAATGAAGCGTTCAGAGAACAAGTGAGACTAAGACAAGAGAAAGAACAGTATGGCGTCCCGCCTATCTTTGAAGGTCGACGTAGAAGATGGCTTAACCATTGGGGTGCCCCAGAATCTATGAACCAGTTCAATGTGGCTATGATTAACAAACCAAGAGAAAGCGGCCCTTATTTAGATTTGAAGAGGACTGATCCCGCTTACACCCTCATGTTCCACAATGCAATGACTCTACAAAACTTGGAAAAAGCTGCAGAAGTTTTCGATTACGCGGTCGATGAATGCAAAATTGAATTGCTCAGCTACTTTCCGGGCGTGTCTGATATGGACCGCAGCTCTCCTACACGATGGCTTGGGGCGCTTATTCCACGCGATGTGATGGTGCGTTATCGCAAAATTATGTCTACATTTACTACCCTAATGACACTAAGCGGTACAATCGAAGGCGATTTGGTGTACAAAAAACATGGCAACTATCTTGAAAGAGCACATGAAGAATGTGAACATCATTATCCGAAACTCCGACCTCGAAACCGGCCACTGGATCCAAAATATCCCTACCCTCGACAACCATCGCCTTACGCTGTGGACCTGTAGATGGCAATGCATTCGATCAGATTTTGTTTCTACAATTTTTCGGATTCTGACTCAATTTTGCTTTCCCAAAACCAATTTCTGCACTAGAAATGGGCTCTCACGCCCACGGAGTCATACAATGTATGACAATCAAGCTTGTTTTGTACTCCTGTGCCAGTGAAAATTGACACGAATCAACATTCGACAAGGTCGAATTCTCCGTTTTTATGGTCAGTTCATAAAACGAAGTTTATATTAGGAAGAGGAATGATACGAACATTATAAGGTTCAGCAATACTCAGTTCCACAGAACATCTATTGGGTTGCATTTTGATGCCTTTATCCCGGGAACTACCAGGCTTGAGTGTATCAATGTTTTATTTCATTGGGAGTCTAGGAGATTGTCTTACTCTACCCATACAAAAATTGAAAACTTGTGTTGTAACAGTCATGTATCTGTTGATTGAAGACGCTTTAGAAAATTGTTTAACATTAATTGTCCGATGACGTGGGGAACGCGTACTGAGACAACAAAGTGACCAACAAGCTTATTTTCGATGCAGCTTGATTTGTAAGTTGCTTCCTTCATTTGATTCCATTAACGTGCTCGTGGTAGGCCGTTGATTATGCTTCTTTATTGAGTGAGATTTGAAATCTTGGTGCTTTCGGAAACTATATAATCAACCTCAATTCACGTCACATCTCCTTCCCCGAGGTTAACCATGCTCAGCTCCACTTCAGATGCCCAGAATCCGGGATTGAGTTTGTCGGGAATTGATTTTGCCACAGTCATGTTAGACGGGTTCAGTGTCTTCATGTATGAGCATGAAAAACCCAAGCTCAGTGCACATACCCAGGACGGTATTGAAATCTTACAACAATCAACCGATTTCTGTAGTGGTTATTTACCGACCTCAAACGTTACTTTCTGAATTCTGAACTCCAATTATCCAAACATAACGAGGCCGAATGTTTTGACAAGCTGATGGCAAAAGAGCTTTCAGTTTCCGTTCTTAATATTATTATTATTGTTAGAGATTAACTGGCGAAAGAATTCGTAAAACTTTATTTAAACTAATCATGATTTTCGAAGGTTGAAATGAGCCTATTTTACAACCAACATATTGAGTTGGATGTATTTAAATTTTTTCATCTCAGAAATAATGCGGGAACTGTAGACGGCACTGTAGATGAGATATTTAAGCGGTGGTGGTTAAGTGGCGAGGGTCACCAATTTATCGCCCCGGAGGATGTGTTCGAATTCCCCTAATATTATTTGTTGTTTGACAGTCCTCTGATGGAGCGCTTCACCCTTCCTGAAAATTATATCATTGGACATTAAATAAAAGGAACTAGACTAACGATAGATGAGATAATATCACGCAAAGGTGAGGCTAAACTGGCCTTCAATAAATTATCGGTCTCTCACAGAAGGAACGGATTTACGTTTGCAAGACCTATGCGACCTGCGTGGAGAATATTACAGTATTAAATCGGCGCTGCCTCTGAGGCACTTTCCGTGTTTGCTGATGTCCGTCTACGACTGCCAGGCACAAACAGCTGTCCAGTTATCGAAGTGATCAAAATAAGCTGATTGCAATGACGTGAATGCATACTGCGACAAATCGCGTTCCATAATGACCATCATCCGTGACTTCAAATATGGGTACGCCAATTTCAACGGAAGCATTCACCTTTGTACCCTCAGGTTAAATTGAAAACCGTTGTGGAATGTACGCATCATGATACAGCCTCGCAAGATTTATTTTAGTCATGGAGAACATAGGAGTTCAAGGTTTCATACTTTATTTGCACTTCTCATGTCAAGAGTTCATCGATTACCCATAACGGAGTATTCCTCAGGTTGACTACTTAACCATGGGGCAAGTGTATTCACGTAATATTGGCGACTCACCAACAGCCACGTTAGATTGAGTTTCTTCCTCCTGTATTCCACTTGGCTCATCAAGAAAGTGATATAAAGACCCTATTTCGCACACTAAAATTGACTATTCCCCCTATTTTTCTAAAATCGAAATTTCCGGATCTTCCCGCCTGGAAAGACTCATTCCGCACCACCGGCCATTCACGACCCTCATTGGTCCTTTTTCTGTAACTCACCACCTTCGAGCTCATTTCCAAGGTCATTGACGGCCAGTCCCCAAATTGTAAATAAACGGATGAGCTGCCCGCTTACTCCTCCTTTTTGGTCGAGCCAAATATACAAACTCGCCTGAAGGCCTTCCTTCCTTCTTCCTGGCCGGATTCCGGGGATCGTACTGGTCTGTAGGTCTCTCCTACCGTTACTGTCCGGTCGAGTCTCTTCTGGGTACCGTAGTCTGGCATACGGAATCGCTACTCTATCACTCGGTTGCACGGTTCTGTTCGTGGATCTCCACTGTCACTGGTCGGGGCTCGTGCAATCCGGCCGTTTCGTTCAGCTCAATGTTACAACAAGAAGAACTGTTAGAGCCGAACACTATATCAAGACCATGAATGACTTGTGAATGAGAGGCAAGATATTTTGTCTTGTGGAATAAACTTTGCTTGAAGTTGAATTACAAAAGACGTGGTTGTTCTATCGGCTCAGCGATGATGACCTATTTTGAATGCCACAATAATGTTATTTTACTCGAAGAGTAAAGTGCAGATGAAGTGACTCCGTTATTGAATAGACGCAAACTCATGCCTTATGTTTTAAGTGCATATCAAGTTTTCAAACTGAGAGTAAATGTGAAGTTGTGGAGAACTGGATCAGCTACGATGAACATCAAGTAAAATTTTACATGTAAAGGGACATGTAGTGAGTAATTATGTATAATGAGTTGAAAGAAGTCAAAATGACCAGGGGATTTAACGTTGACAGTCATGGGTGGTTCTTACAACAACGGTTATAATATAACAACCGGCAAATTTTTCATAAGCTGAAGCCTGAAAAATATTCTGGTCCGTAATAGATGCAACGGAATCAATTTCAGAATCCCATTGTTCCTACTCTTAACTGTTGGTTATTGAGCGCGAGGGTTTTACTGATAATACCGTCCCACAGGCAAGGAGGTACAGTTGACGACTCATGTCAGATGGTATATATATATAGAAGGCTGTTTGTATGATAAATTCCTCACAGTAGCCGCATGCGGAAGAAAGTACCACTGAAAAACGAGTGTAAGCAATGCACAACGAATTTTTAATTATAAATCCGAATTCCTACAGTTCATTGTACTGTTTGCACATAATTTGTGGTGAATAAAGTGCTATAGTGGGCGTTGATGCATATTGTGTTTAAGCGTGTTTTCCCCATACATCGATGAGGCTATGAATTTTGGAATCAGAGACGGTCATTAGCTTCTCCACAAATGAATATTTTCTTGCCGTACCATACGGAATCGCAAATCGCATAGAGAACTGATATTAACTGACCTCATCTTTAAGCACAATCCTCATTTCTTCCAGTCACATTTACTTACATATATTAGTATTTCACATCCCAATTAATTGCTTGGAGATCATCATGCGGCCTTCAACTGTGGAACAATGGCCCAATGAATTTCCCCGTCTGTATAAACCGAAAAACTAAATTAGGTATATAATCATCCACGGCAATGTATATGATATGCGTAATGTATATAACCTTTAGGAATCAATAATTCGTAACGTTTGGTGTATTTGTTCAAATAGATCCTCCTTAACCAGTTCCTTTAAGTCGCTTCTATTGCGGTTTGTGGCACCTAAACCCCCTACAACAAATTGAATTAAAGCTATGAATTATAAATGAGTTGATCAAGAAAAGTGTATCCGAAATAACTACACCAACTGTTACATATTAAAAAATCGTGAATAAAATACACGCTTGTGAATGATCAGAAAGAAAATTATCGAATGCATACACCTGACGACCGGTAATTGTCGTAAAACCATTGACGTGCTTTGAGGGAAATTTGGCAGGCATTCAAATACTACTTATTGGAAATGTGTATAAATAGCATAGCACATTTATTCAACCATTAAACTGCATACAAGAAACGAAAAAAGAAAACAAATGTGTTGGAATATACAAAATTTTGATCGCATTATGAAGGGTACGTCCAAGGAATGATACTGAAGTATGGAGTGCGCAATGTTCTCTTATCGCACAGAATACCATCCGCCTCAGAATCAGAAAAGCAGGCAATATGAAAATCAAAGATACTATCACAGATCACCGGACTCCTGGAGTACCGACTCTCCGGGAACAATTTTAGTGTTCAATTGTCTATTCACCTCTGAAATTGTGTCTCGCAGTCGTTGAACCATTGTTGTGCATTGATCAATTAAGCCAGATATTTGACTGGTTTGAAGAACCACAGCATCCACCTGTTGACGACCGGCATACGTCAAATCTGTGGCTGTAGGTGGTGAAGAGATTCCCGCTTCCAAAGGGGAAAAATTAGAGCCAACCTTCGGACTGAGCAGAGTCGGACTGGTTAGAGTAGTGCCATTCTCACGGGCTTGTAAGGCACTCCAAACATGGCGTGTTTCATAATCTACCTTGGGATCCGAACAGCAGGAATCAGAAAGAGGCAATAAAATTGACGACAAGAATAGTGCATAATTAGGCAAAGAACAATCAGGTTAACTGCAAAAACAGCGATAAATGGGGGTAGCAATTAGGATACCTGTTACAGAAATGAGTTATGGTTGAAAAACACGGTTCAGAGAAGAAAGAAATCAGAGCATAAACGGCCCATCACCAAGGTAACCACAAAGTGCAGCTACAATTGAAGATTTATTCAAATATGTGCACATCCATTACTCAGTTCCACTTCGTGAAACTATTAACCGTGCACTTTCGTGTGCTGGTTTGGTTGCTGTCTTTTGGTCGCTCATTTGAACGAAGTAGTAGAAGAAAGATGGGAAAGTTGAAAGTAGATTCGAAGAGGAAATGGAGAATTTCTGTGGATTAATGTGGCAAGGAAATTGGAAAGATGCACGAACACCACTGTTTACAACACTCCGTCATGTCACCAGTGTCTACAATCACTGGCATCAAGCATGCCGAGGTCCCAGCCAGAGAGCCTTACGGGACCTTTGTCACCCAGTACCCTGGTTAGGGTTTTCGTACCTTCGTGCAAGGACTAGTATTGACCAACCTTGGCTTCGTTTCAACCACTACTTATCTCGGTAAACATCGCATGCCAAGGCTACCTAATTGGTGAGAAGCGCAACGCATTTACTAACCACAGTAGTCTATTGAGGTCGACTACCTGCTCCAGTGGAAGACCGCGATTACCTAAACTCCACGCCTAACCTCAGTATGGGTTGTCCGGTTGCACCACCAGATTCGTGCAATTCTGCGTAGACAGCGGCGTTCAAACACCGACAGTCTATCTTTATGCTGTTTTTCTAATGGTCAACATTCTGCGCTGTATAGCAGAACTGGCCGAACTGCTGCAGCATATACTCGACCCTTCACGGACAGCCGGATGTTGCGGCGGAACCACAGATTTCTCAAGTTGGCTAAAACCTATCCAGCCTACAGTATACGAGCTGACACTTTATCCGTGATGCGTCTACCGGGTAAGATGTAGTTGCCCAAGTAACAAAACCTATTCAGGCTTGATTGACCTTCGCATATGACTCAGTTACTTGTAAGTTTTGTTTGTCGGATAATTGATATTGCTTTGTTTGACTGACTATCCTTCGGGCTTCACCTTCACGCACAATCCTCAGTTCATTGATTCAATCATACACTCAGAAGCACTATACCTTTCCAACTTTAAGTGAATCCAACCAATCGCACTCCATTGGAAACCCCGACAAGATGATTGGTGTTGATCAAATGTATTAAAAATCAAGCATTTTGATAGCTGTCGGATAATGTACACGAACATGTTCAGTCGTTTCTACGAATGCAACTCAAGGCTGAATACGACAAAGAAGTTTCCGTCACAACTATCAGC